GCCCATGTTGGGATACAGCGTTGCGTCAGCATATGCAGCGTCGCCATTCGGTGGCCGCCTGGGAAAAACCGTGATAAAGATACGGCGGTTCTGCCTGCCCCAGCCCCGCTCCATCACCCGCTCCGTTACTTGCTCACGTTCACCCGACGTCAATCGCCCTCTATCAGCCAGTCAAGGCTCCAACAACCTCTGCTGAGGGGAGTTGTCGCTCGTTGGCATCTTCGCTCGTTCAGATGCTCCTTCTTCCTGCTACTCTCTTCACGGATTCCGTCAGCAGTCTTTCTTGGAATCCGTTTCCAAGAGACAACAGTTTGCGAGCACGCACCCGACGGGTGCTGCAGGAAGTATGCTGAACGTCCTCCTCTCTAAGTTGATGGTGCTGCAGTCCCTCCCTTTCCAAGTGGTGGACTCAGCACCTTTCTCTTCAGAGAAATGATGGCTTGTGCCGAGCCGCGGTGGAGAGTGCCAAGCCGGCATTTCTTCGCCAAAAGGCAGTGCCAGCCTGCATTCACATGTAGAAGAGATGGTGGGCCCAGTCTTTGAGCATGTCGGTCTCTGCCAAAGTGCACGGCAGCGCCGACGTGTGGAGCTGTAACTACGGTCAGGGACAGTACATGTCATTTACGGCCCACTGGGTGAACGTGGTGCCGGCACAGCCGCACCAGCAACTTGGACAGGTCACGCCGCTATGTGCCTCTGTCGTCTGCTCACGCTGCTGACGGCTTCCGCTTTTTAAAACTAGTCCTGTGTATGTCTTCCGAATACTGCTGCCTCCACCGCCACCCTGCGCCCATGTGCCACTTTCAGGTCTCCTTACACTGTTGGTGGGTTCCATTTTGTGATAGGGTGCTGTATGGCCTTCCATTGCTGCTGCCTCCACCGCCACCCTGCGCCATGTGCCTCTGTCGTCTGCTCAGCTGCTGACGGCTTCCGCTTTTTAACCAGCGGCCTGTGTTTGGCTTCCGAATACTGCTGCATCCACCGCCACACCTGCGCCATGTGTCTCTGTCGTCTGCTCACACTGCTGACGGCTTCCGCTTTTTAACCTAGGCCTGTGTATGGCTTCCGAATTACTGCTGCCTCCACCGCCACCTGCGCCCATGTGCCTCTGTCGTCTGCTCACGATGCTGACGGCTTCCGCTTTTTAACCGAGGCCTGTGTTTGGCTTCCGAATTACTGCTGCATCCACGCCCGCCCACTGTTGCTGCCAGGCCCGTAATCTGTCATGGGCTCTTTGAAGCCTTAGAAAACACCCTTTTTATAAGTTAAATTCGCAAGCGAATATATTCGCCTCGAATCAAATTTATTCCGCGAATTCGGCGGACTTTGCCGAATCGAATTTTTGAATAATTTCGCTCATCTCTAATCATGATGCTTACATAACATCTCCACAAAAGTGTGGTAGAACAAATGACACCACATGGAAGTGTATAAATGTATCTTTGCTTTGAGACTAAAGGACTATTACCTAACTGAAATGTATTGTTCTTTTATTGCAAGGTACATTTTTCTTGGTTAGATCTATCATCATACAGTTTACAGAATATCCAAACATTCCATCCGCACTGCCTCCCTGTACCCCATGGTGGGGAGTTGCCAATTCCAAATCCACAAGAATCCTACTCTCTAGACTCTAAATAATGAGCAGGATACAGTTGATCCAGGCCGTTGATATCAGTGGACCCAAACTTTAGCCCACCATAAGCTCCTCCTGAACCACGTCTAATTTCAGAGAGTGAAGTAAATGACTTGGTCAGGGATTTGGAATGGCCTAAGAGATAGGCTAGCCATACATTATACAATTTTCTTTAGAAAATTGCTTAGATTTACCAAAAACCATATAATATGAGGTCAAACCTGAACAACACATTAAATTTTATCCAGTTAAGCAGGCCCTTGCACCACACAGTTGATGGTAAAAGTCTAAAGGAATTTGGGCAGAAATTGAACAGAAAAAATTGTATAGTGTATGGCCAGCCTAAGGCAGAACTACTGGGCTCCAGATTACAAAAGTGTAACCTCTGGCAGAGTGATGTCAGCAAAAAGCATGAAAATCTTTACATGAAAAAACAATAAATGAATGGAAAGTTATGGTTATTGATATCAATAAAAAAGATACATTTATAATGATTGGTGTGGCACAATTTTCATTGCTATATCACATTTTGCAGAAATGTGATGGAGCATAATTGCACATCCCCCCACATAATTTTTAATTATTTTGATGCAATTTTGACCTGAAGCTGTATATTGGAAATTGGAGCCAATTAATAATCAGGACATAATTTTCCTTTATTAGTAACCCAATTCTGGTAAAATTCAACTACTTTCATTTCAGGCTTTCTCCTTGTAGACCATTTAAAGAAATTTGGTTATTTACAATTTTGCTTATATAATCAATTTTCACCATTTTGCAAAAAAGGGGAAATGTAAAATTGACAAATATTTGTTAGTTATTAACTCAATACAGGTTAAGCTTATATATTTAGTAGGAATTTAGCAGGAATTTTGTAAAATTTGCTGTGTTTGCATCTGCTAATAATGATTTTAGTGTATTTTTAGTGAATATATTGTTTTGATAAACATTTGCACAAATATCACAGGGCCTTAAAAATCAGTAGCATCTTCTTTTCATGTGCTTTCAGAAAATATATGGTTTACAAACTCTGATAGCTATAAGAGAAAAATAAAAAAGCAATGGAAATATTGATAAATTGGTCAGGCCACCTGAGTTTTAAGTGGAGCCCAGGGCTTGGCAGCACAAGGGTTAAAGAGAAAAAAAAGGCCTTTAAACAATATAAGGCACAGGGGTCATTGTTGGCATTCCAGCACTAAGGCATGTAATAGAAAAGAGTAAGAATGAAATCAGGGAGGCAAGATTTTTAAAATGTATTAAAGTGGGAGTAAATAAAGCTTACCATGCTAAATAAAGTGCACCATTTAGGAGATATTCCAGTGAATAGTAGCCGAGGACTGCTCCTTTCGAGTTGTCTGCCACAGCCGAGACTCCTGCACACATGCGTGAGAGTGATGTCATCGCGGCTTGGCCAATCAAGCAGCCATAGCCTGCAAACCTGGAAGGAAGACTGGGTGAAGGTGGAAGCCTCTGCAGCAGTGACAGCTCACCGTTGGAGGGCTTTGTTTTAAGGTAAAACCTTCATAATGTGCTAGTATGTGATGCAGCACATTGTGCCTTTGTCTTGCATGGGAAGGACAAACACAAACAGAAGCATTTTTTTTTTTTTTTTTAGAGTTTACTATTGCTTTAACAGTAAAAAAAGCGAGGTTAGGGAATTTTGGCTGAAGAAGAGAAGTTGGTTACAAATGAGAAGGATAAGGCAATTGTGCTAAATGCATTTTTCTCCTCAGTTTTTACAAAGGAAAAGGACGTGTATAGTAATCAAGACTGTATCATTAGTAATGCATCACAGAATGTACCCTTGTGGCTAAAGGAAGCCAGTGTCCGAAAAAGACTTGAATAGCTCAACACAAATAAATCACCAAGACCAGATGGCTTAAAAAGTCTCCAAGAACTCATTCAGGTTATAGCCAGGCTATTATTCCTAATTGTTATGGACAACATACTGAAAGCAGTGGGTACCATTTGTTTGGCAAAGGGCCAACGTGGTGCCAATATTTAAAAAAAGGGTAGAGATATATTCCTGGAAACTACAGGCCAGTCAGCCTAGCATCAATAGTATGTGTCACATACATGGTCTTGAGGCCGAAAAATGTCGAGAGGATTCTCCTTTCAGGTAGGTTCTCCACACAGGATGTTAATGCTGACCCCAAAGCAGGGATTGTCAGCTGTGACAGGTAGTGCTGTAGCAATGGAACTTCTGTGGATGTGAACTGGATGATGAGAGCAGCTGGTCAATACTTGATCATCCAGCAAGGTACAGCAGAAGGCACGTCACAGCAGCAGGGCAAGACAGGAGACGAAGTCAGGAATGAGTGCCAGGGTCAGAACACCATAGTCAGCAGAGGAGAGATCAGGAGCGTAGTCAGAGCCTAGTTGAGGTCATACACAGGAAGCAAGCAGGAGCAGATCCGTAAAGCAAGCCGAGGTCAGAGCCAGGAGAGAAGCAAGGGTAGACCAGTAGCCAGCTGGGTCAGTAACGGGAAGTCAGAAGCATAAGCATACAGGAATCAAGGGCAACAGGGAGCTCTATACAGTCCCCCATAAATGTTTAATTTACAGACTGAGGTCTGTTGGCATGGACCATAGGGTTTGTACATGGAGAGAAAACTGGTTACAGGGGCATGTCCAAAGTGTGGTGATGAATAGCATGTACTCAGACTGGTCTGGAGTAGTAAGTGGGGTACCCCAAGGCTCTATCCTGAGACCAATTCTGTTACATTTATTCATAAATGATATAGAGGTTGGTATAAATAGCTCAATCTCAGTGTTTGTTGATGGTACAAAACTGTCAGGAATGGACTTGCCAATAATGGTGGGACTCACCTGCCTTGTGGGCTGCAGCACCAGGGCTGGCCAGCGGGTGCTCTCAACAACCAGAGGTTCACTTCAGCAATTAGCCATCACCTGGGGCTGATTGCAGGTGTATTTAAGGGATGGCCAGACCTGCAGTCTGTGCCTTGGTGTGTGTTTTTCCATGGGCCCCTGTATCTTGTAACCTGCGTTCCTGTTCCTGCCTCTGCCTGACTTGTTGCCGACCCTGCCTGATCCTGACCTTTGCTGACTTCTCCTGTTTTGATCCCTGGCTTGTGACCCTGACCATTCTCTCCGCCTGCTCCTCCTGTACCTACCTGCCCGATAGTTATCGACCCGGCCTGCCTGATTATGTTGTGTTCTATATGTGTATGTACCTGTGTATCTGTATCAGTTTAGGTTTGGGTTTGTTTCACCTTGTTGTATGTATTTGTGTTAGCTTGGGGTTTGGTGCACTGCGTTTATGTTTGTATTGTTAGTCTTTAATAAATTGTCTTATTTATACCATATCTTGAAGCTTGCGTTTCCCTGTGTCAGTCCACACACTTCTGGTCACACCTGCATCCCTGACATTACACCAAGGCCATAAACCTGACCAGAAGTGGCTGCACAGGGAGGCCATCTTGGCTTATTGTTGCTGGGAAGGATGGATCTTGATGAGGTGGTGTATTTTTCTCTGCTAGTGTTTGATGAAAAAGACTATGCTTATCAGACTCTTAAGGAGTATACCCAGGATCAACTGCTAGAGTGTATAAGGATCGCTCATTGTCTAGTTGATCAGGGCACAGAGTTTTCTGAGGTGCAGCCATTGATCCAGGTTTGTGCTGAGTTGGCTCAGTCCTGTACCCCTGAAAGCAGGGATGACTTTTTTCCCCCATTTAGTGTGGATCAAGTGGAATCACTGGTATGGTTGTTGGAGGATGATCCAGATTGTTTCCATGAGCACTATGCAGCAGGTCCATCACATGTGCTTATGGATTGCATAAACGCAGTGCAGTCTTTGATCAGACAGGCTAGGTGTAAGCTGAGTTTTGTTAACCTCCCTGGCGGTATGATCATGTCAGGAATTTTGTGCTGAAAGCGGTACCATTTTTTTGCATGGAAATATGTAGTTTTTAATTGTAGGCTGTAATTTTTAGGAATAACTCACTGAAATCTATCCGAAAAAGAGTCTATTAAACATTCCGGATATGATAAAACTTGAAACACGAAATCATAAATTATAATTTAATAAATAATCATAAAAAATAATAATATAATAATAATAAATTTAATTCAATAATATAATCAAACCAAAAACACTGAAATTTGAAATACAGAGGCAAATTCGCACATCGCTGAGCAAAGTCGCAAAATCGTTTTCAGTGTCTGATGACGAATTTCCCCACAAATCATTATCACTCAATTCTGCAAGTGGTTCTGATTTACTATCGCTGTTCTAAAACCGCTTTTGACGTAAAGGGACGCTTTTTGGCCGCCATGGACTTTTCTAAGTTTCCAGGCAGAAAGAACAGTCAAAATGCAGGCAGGGCACAGGACAAAGCAGTGGGGACAAAAATGTACAGTTGCAAGAAAAAGTATGTGAACCCTTGGGATTACTTGTAGTTTTGCATGAATTGGGCATAACATGTGCTCTGAACGTCATCTAAGTCACAACAATAGAAGAACACAGTCTGCTGAACATAATACTACACAAACATTAGATGTTGCCATGGTTTAATTGCACATAACATGTAAACATTCACAGTGCAGGGAGGAAAAAGTATGTGAACCTTTGGACTTAATAACTGGTTGACCCTCCTTTGGCAGCAATAACCTCAACCAAACGTTTCCTGTAGTTGCAGACCAGACCTGCACAACGATCTGGAGTCATTTTGGACCACTCCTCTTCACAAAACTGTTTCAGTGTAGCAATATTCTTGGGATGTCTGGTGTGAATCGCTCTCTTAAGGTCATGCCACAGCATTTCAATCGGGTTGAGGTCAGCACTCCAGAAGGCGTAAACTGTGCTGTTGCAGCCATTGTTTTGTTGAATTACTTGTATGCTTTGGGTCATTGTCCTGTTGCATCACCCATTCTCTGCGGAGCTTCAGTTGGTGGACAGATGGTCGTACGTTTTCCTGGAAAATGTCTTGATAAACTCTGGCATTCATTTTCGCATCAATGACAACAATCTGTCTAGGCCCTGAGGCAGCAAAGCAGCCCCAAACCATGATGCTCCCTCCGCCATGTTTTACAGTGGGGATGAGGTTTTGATGTTGGTGTGCTGTGCCTTTTTTTCTCCACACATAGTGTTGTGTGTTCTTCCCAAACAACTCAATCTTGGTTTCATCTGTCCACAGTATATTTTGCCAGTAGTGCTGTGGAACATCCAGGTGCTCTTTTGCAAACTTCAAACATGCTGCAATATTCTTTTTGGACAGCAATGGCTTCCTCCGTGGTGTCCTCCCATGCACTCCATTCTTGTTTAATGTTTTCTTTATTGTAGATGTGTCAACAAAAATGTTTACATGTGCCAGAGATTTCTGTAGGTCTTTAGCTGACACTCTGGGATTCTTCTTTACCTCATGCAGCATTCTGCACTGTGCTCTTGCAGTCATTTTTACAGGACGACCATGCCTAGGGAGAGTAGCAACAGTGCTAAACTTTCTCCATTTGTAGACAGTCTGACTTACCGTGGATACATGAACATCTAGGCTTTTGGAGATACTTTTGTAACCCTTTCCAGCTTCATGCAAGTCAACAATTCTTGATCGTAGGTCTTCTGAGAGCTCTTTTCTGCGAAGCATGGTTCACATCAGACAGTGCTTCTTGAACCCAGTAAATCCAAAATAGGTGTGTGTTTTTTAAGGGCAGGACAGCTGTCAGCAACACATCCAATATCATCACACTGATTGGAGTCAAGGTTGGCTCACTCCTGGCTCCAATTACAGTTGTGTCCAAAATTATTCAACCCCCACTGAAATTGAGTGTTTTGGCCAGTTTGACATTGCTTTTGATCATTCAGTCATCTTGCTTACATTTACATTAAAGAGGCACTTGTAGGTCAGACAAATATAACATAACAGTTATAATGAAATAACCACAAATGTCTTTTCTGTGCTCACAGCATTATCAGTTTTATTCAACCCCCAAGTGACATTCAATCTTAGTACTTAGTACAGCATCCTTTTACAGTTATAACAGCTTTTAAACGTGAAGCATAGCTTGACACAAGTGTCTTTGCAGCGATCTACGGGTATCTTCGCCCATTCTTCATGGGCAAAGGCCTCCAGTTCAGTCACATTCTTAGGCTTGCGCACTGCAACTGCTTTCTTTAAGTCCCACCAGAGGTTCTCAATCGGATTTAAGTCTGGTGACTGCGATGGCCACTCCAAAATGTTCCAGCCTTTCCTCTGCAACCATGCTCTAGTGGACTTGGAGGTATGCTTGGGATCATTGTCCTGTTGAAAGGTCCAACGTCTCCCAAGCCTCAGGTGTGTGACGGACTGCATCACGTTTCCATCCAATATCTCCTGGTACTGAAGAGAATTCATGGTACCTTGCACACGCTGAAGCTTCCCTGTACCTGCAGAAGCAAAACAGCCCCAAAGCATGATTGACCCTCCACCATGCTTCACAGTAGGCAAGGTGTTCTTTTCATCATAGGCCTTGTTCTTCCTCCTCCAAACATAGCGTTGATCCATGGGCCCAAACAGTTCTAATTTTGTTTCATCAGTCCACAGAACACTATCCCACAACTTTTGTGGTTTGTCCACATGGCTTTTGGCATACTGCAGTCGACTCTTCTTATTCTTTGGAGACAGCAAGGGGGTACGCCTGGGAGTTCTGGCACGGAGGCCTTCATTACGCAGTGTGCGTCTTATTGTCTGGGCTGAAACTTCTGTACCCACATCTGACAAATCTTTTCTCAGTTCCTCAGCAGTCACACGGGGACTTCTCTCCACTCTACGCTTCAGGTAGCGCACAGCAGTCGAAGTCAGCATCTTTCTTTCTGCCACGACCAGGTAGCGTTTCAACAGTGCCCTTTGCCTTGAATTTGCGAATGATGCTTCCTAAGGTGTCTCTTGGTATGTTTAACATCTTTGCAATCTTCTTATAGCCATTGCCCTTCCTGTGAAGAGAAATCACCTCTTCTCTTGTCTTCCTGGACCATTCTCTTGCCTTCACCATGTTTGTAACCACACCAGTAAATGTCTAGAAGGAGCTGAGTATCACAGTCATTTTAAAGCTGCCTAATTGGTGCTTATTATGCTTGATTGCTGCTCGGTGACATCCACAGGTGTTTTCAATACCTGATGGAAAGCACCTGTATGAACCTCTGTTCTTCAGAGTGGTAGTCTTTAAGGGGTTGAATAATTGTGGCAATGAAGAAACCACATAAGAACCATTTACTACTGTATTACATAAACAATTGATGTCATTTTAGTTGCATTTGGGTAGTTACAACGTCCTTGTAGGATTTGATTCTGAATACAATTCCAAATGTACACTATAGTCCCTAAACCCCTTTACAGCATTGGGGGTTGAATAATTTTGGACACAACTGTAGCTCTGGGAGAAGTTATTAAGCTAGGGCCTCACATACTTTTTCCTCCCTGCACTGTGAATGTTTACATGTTATGTGCAATTAAACCATGGCAACATCTAATGTGTGTGTAGTATTATGTTCAGCAGACTGTGTTCTTCTATTGTTGTGACTTAGATGACGTTCAGAGCACATTTTATGCCCAATTCATGCAAAACTCCACGTAATCCCAAGGGGTTCACATACTTTTTCTTGCAACTGTATGTGAAATGCAGTGAAAAAGCAATGACAGCAAAAATGTAATTTTTTAAAAATTTCAAATTTCCCGCCGGTTCCGCCGCCCGAACGTTCCGACGTCACGGGGACCAGAACACGGAAGTCAGATGCCGGCATCCGCCGGAGGAGATGGACGGGGACACTGCAGGGGACCCATCGTGGGAGCGAAGGACAAGGTAAGTGCTGCAGGGACCCCCAGAGAACGCTGCATAGTAAGCCCGAGTGTAGCTCGGGGTTACCGTTCTTGGTATAGAAATTCTACCCCGAGCTACACTCGGGAACACCGCCAAGGAGGTTAAACCAGTACTGCAGACATGGACATATTTGTTACACCCAGCCTCAGTTGGCTTGCAACATCATTCCTCTGCTCAAGGCACTCTTCCTGCATCCCCGACAGCACCCCCAGTGATGGCCCAGTATACTCTGCTAACTACCACATACCACTCCCCTGCTCCCACTCGCTGCACCTATCCTTTCTTCAACCCTGTAAAGAAATCCTCTTTAGCAACTGCTCCCTCCTCTGTTCCCTCCTCCAGCTCTTCTCTGTCTCCAGCTGCTCCATCCGTTTACCAAACTGCGCTTACTTACAGTGCTCCGGTAACTAAAACCAGGAAAAGGCGAAAGTTCTTTTCAACCAATACCATCCTGCCAGTATCCAAACCGGTCAGCCTCCCATCTGAGAACCTGCCTTCCGTGGTGCAGCCTGATGTCTCTATTCAGCCTGATGTCTCTATTCAGCCTGATGTCTCCATTCAGCCTGATGTCTCTACCCAGCATGATGTTTCTACCCAGCCTGATGAACTGATCCAGCCTGATGATCCTATTATGCCAGATGACTCGGTGCCCGCTGCTCCGCCTGGTGGCCCGGTGCCCGCTGCTCCGCCTGGTGGCCCGGTGCCCGCTGCTCCGCCTGGTGATCCGGCGTCCAGCCTGATGTGCCTCCGTCCAGTGCCCAGCCCGACGTGCCTCCATCCGGTGCCCAGCCCGAAGTGCCTCCGTCCGGTGTCCAGCTCGAAGTGCCTCCGTCCGGTGTCCAGCTCGAAGTGCCTCCGTCCGGTGTCCAGCTCGAAGTGCCTCCGTCCAGTGTCCAGCTCGAAGTGCCTCCGTCCGGTGTCCAGCTCGAAGTGCCTCCGTCCGGGGTCCAGCTCGAAGTGCCTCCCTCCGGTGTCCAGCACGAAGTGCCTCCGTCCGGTGTCCAGCTCGAAGTGCCTCCGTTCGGTGTCCAGCTCGAAGTGCCTCTGTCCGGTGTCCAGCTCGAAGTGCCTCCGTCCGGTGTCCAGCTCGAAGTGCCTCCGTCCGGTGTCCAGCTCGAAGTGCCTCCGTCTGGTGCCCAGCTCGAAGTGCCCCCGTCCGATGTCCAGCTCGAAGTGCCTCCGTCCGGTGCCCAGCCCGATGTGCCAGTCTTTGATATCCCGCCAGTCACTGGACCCGGGCGGTGGAACATTTTGCCCAGCTAGGACTGTTTGGAGCGTCCTGAGGCCGCTCCTTGAGGGGGGGGGTACTGTCAGGAATGGACTTGCCAATAATGGTGGGACTCACCTGCCTTGTGGGCTGCAGTACCAGGGCTGGCCAGCGGGTGCTCTCAACAACCAGAGGTTCACTTCAGCAATTAGCCATCACCTGGGGCTGATTGCAGGGTGTATTTAAGGGATGGCCAGACCTGCATCTGTGCCTTGGTGTGTGTTTTTCCCATTGGTGTGTGGGCTGATTTTCCATTTTTTAACCAGGTACTGGCCCGATAGCGGGGATTTTCGTTTTTTCCCTTAGGTGGGGGGTTTTTAGCGCATTCACTGGGGCTGGGGGTGGTGTGGGGGTAAGGGGATGGCCTGGACCTGCAGTCTGTGCCTTGGTGTGTGTTTTTCCATGGGACCCTGTATCTTGTAACCTGCGTTCCTGTTCCTGTTTCTGCCTCTGCCTGACTTGTTGCCGACCCTGCCTGATCCTGACCTCTGCTGACTTCTCCTGTTTTGATCCCTGGCTTGTGACCCTGACCATTCTCTCCGCCTGCTCCTCCTGTACCTACCTGCCCGATAGTTATCGAGATGAGCGAAGAAATGAAAAATTCGATTCGACTGATTCGGCGAATTCGTGGACAATATTCGATTCGAGTCGAATAAATTCGCTGTGAATTTAACTTAAAAAAGGGTGTTTCTAGGCTTCAGAGAGACTTAATATTAGTGCAGAACACTGTACCTTTAATTTAAATGCCCTTGGAGTCTGCTGGGGAAGAGAAATAATACTGTCAGTCAGTATGACATGCAGATGATGAGTGCCGTCGATCTTAGAATCACCGCACACTTCACTCATTTGGGCAGTCACGGGGCCAAAACCAGAGTGTGGAGCCACAGTGTGGCGGTGGAGGCAGCAGCAATGGGAGGCCATACAGCACCCTATGACAAAAATGGAAACCACCAGCAGTGTGAGGAGACCTGAAAGTGGCACATGGCAGAGTGTGGCGATAGAGACAGCAGCAATGGGAGGCCGTACAGGGACCCATGACACACTCTGGACCTGGCAGCAGCATGAGGAGGCGGTACAGGGGCCCATGACAGATTACGGGCCTGGCAGCAGCATGAGGAGTCGGTACAGGGGCCCATGGCAGATTACGGGCCTGGCAGCAGCAATGGGAGGCCGTACAGGGACCCATGACACACTCTGGACCTGGCAGCAGCATGGGGAGGCGGTACAGGGGCCCATGACAGATTACGGGCCTGGCAGCAGCATGAGGAGTCGGTACGGGGGCCCATGACACACTCTGGACCTGGCAGCAGCATGAGGAGGCGGTACAGGGGCGCATGACAGATTACGAGCCTGGCAGCAGCAACTTGGACAGGAGGACGTTCAGCTTCTGCACCGTCGGGTGCGTGCTCGCAAACTGTTGTCTCTTGGAAACGGATTCCAAGAAAGACTGCTGACGGAATCCGTGAAGAGGAGTAGCAGGGAAGAAGGAGCATCTGAACGAGCGGAATATGCCAACAAGCGACAACAGTGGCCCATGACAGATTACGGGCCTGGCAGCAGCATGAGGAGTCGGTACGGGGGCCCATGGCAGATTACGGGCCTGGCAGCAGCTATGGGAGGCCCGTAATCTGCCAGCACCCTATGACAAAAAATGGAACCCACCAGCAGTGTGAGGAGACCTGAAAGTGGCACATGGCAGAGAGTGTGGCGATGGAGACAGCAGCAATGGGAGGCCGTACAGGGACCCATGAGAGACTCTGGACCTGGCAGCAGCATGAGGAGGCGGTATAGGGGCCCATGGCAGATTAGGGGCCTGGCAGCAGCTATGGGAGGCCCGTAATCTGCCAGCACCCTATGACAAAAAATGGAACACACCAGCAGTGTGAGGAGACCTGAAAGTGGCACATGGCAGAGTGTGGCGATGGAGGCAGCAGCAATGGGGAGGCCGTACAGGGACCCATGAGAGACTCTGGACTTGGCAGCAGCATGAGGAGGCGGTATAGGGGCCCATGGCAGATTAGGGGCCTGGCAGCAGCAGCTATGGGAGGCCCGTAATCTGCCAGCACCCTATGACAAAAAAAATGGAACACACCAGCAGTGTGAGGAGACCTGAAAGTGGCACATGTTTGGGGCATGATTCATGGCGGATTTAGTCAGTTGTGTCAGGAACTGGTGGTTTGAAATCCAGACTAATCCACGCCTGATTCATTTTCACAAACGTAGTCTCTCCACACTTTGGGTGGACAGTCGTGTCCTCCGCGGAGTTGCAATACCTCCTGCCGCACTAAACACGCGCTCCGATGCCACGCTACTGGCCGGGCATGACAGCCTTTCAAGGGCAAATTCAGCTAGTTGGGGCCAAAGGTCAAGTTTCGTTGCCCAGTAGTCAAGGGGATTGTCTACCTCGGTTGGCAGGGTGCTGTCCAAGTAGGCCTAAGCCTGTTGTTTGAGGTCCTGCTCCAGGTCCACCTGATGCTGCTGCTGCTGCTGCGGCTGGTTAGTAGTTTCCTCACTGCGCTGGTGAAGAAAGCTACTCATCATCGACTGCAGACTGAGGCAGCCGCTGCTGGTGGAGCTGCCACTGCTCCTACCACCCCACCCCCCCTGCTGCCATGGCAGCGGAACACGAGCGCACAGGGCCCACAGTGTCTGAGGATGGACGTTGGCGCAGACAGGCAGAGACCAGCTGACTACATAGGTGTTTATAGTACGTTATTTTGGCCTCCCTCTCAGCAGGTGTGAAAAAGGCCACCATTTTTGAACGGTAGCGAGGGTCCAACAAGGTGGACAGCCAAAAGTCATCCCTCTGTCTGATGGTTATTATTCGGCTGTCGCTACGCAAGCAACCGAGAGCATGCTATGGGCCATTTGTGCCAAGGAATGCGAGGGACTCCCTGCCTCCATCTCCACAGCATACTGCCACGGTGCGTCTAGGTCCTCTGTCTCCTCTTCCTCCTCCTCTACCAGATGCTCTCTGCTCCTCCACTCCTGTCCGCTGAGTGGAAAAAACCACCCATTTCACTCAATAATTCCTGAGCACCAATGTCCTCCTCTACCTCCTCCTCTTCTTCCAGTCCTGCCCCCACAGGGGCCATGTGGCGTTGAGATCTGTGCGCGCCACGTCTACCGCACCCTGACCAGCCATTGTTAACAGCATTTGTTCCAGGACGTGCAACAGAGGAATGACGTCGTTCATCCCATAGTCCTGCCGACTCACGAATAGCGTGGCCTCCTCAAAGGGCCTGAGCAAGCGCAGGTGTCACGCATGAGCTGCCAATGGCTGACATCTAAGTTACACAGGGAGTACCTTTATCTGCTTTTAACATCAGGAAATCTGTGATGGCCTTTTGCTGTTCGTAAAGGCGGTCTAACATATGTAGGGTTGAATTCCACCTTGTTGCAACGTCACAGCATGAGGAGTCGGTATAGGGGCCCATGGCAGATTAGGGGCCTGGCAGCAGTTATGGGAGGCCCATAATCTGCCAGCACCCTATGACAAAAAATGGAACACACCAGCAGTGTGAGGAGACCTGAAAGTGGCACATGGCAGAGTGTGGCGATGGAGACAGCAGCAATGGGAGGCCGTACAGGGACCCATGAGAGACTCTGGACCTGGCAGCAGCATGAGGAGGCGGTATATAGGGGCCTACGGCAGATTAGGGGCCTGGCAGCAGCTATAGGAGGCCCGTAATCTGCCAGCACCCTATGTCAAAAAATTCAACACACCAGCAGTGTGTGAGGAGACCTGAAAGTGGCACATGGCAGCAGAGTGTGGCGATGGAGACAGCAGCAATGGGAGGCCGTACAGGGACCCATGACAGACTCTGGACTTGGCAGCAGCAGCATGAGGAGGCGGTATATAGGGGCCCATGGCAGATTAGGGGCCTGGCAGCAGCTATAGGAGGCCCGTAATCTGCCAGCACCCTATGTCAAAAAATTCAACACACCAGCAGTGTGAGGAGACCTGAAAGTGGCACACATGGCAGAGGCAGAGTGTGGCGATGGAGACAGACAGCAGCAATGGGAGGCCGTACAGGGACCCATGACAGACTCTGAACTTGGCAGCAGCATGAGGAGGGGGTATATAGGGGCCCATGGCAGAT